TGTCAATGTGAATATTCACATAGTTAACGGGCCGGGTCGGGCCCGCCCTGGGCCGCTGACCAATTTTATACTCTTATCAATGTGAATGTTAACATGTCAATGTGAATATTCACATTGTCAACAGGCCGAACCGGGCCCGCCCCGGACCGCCACTGGGCAATGGGCGGGTTTCAGGCAGCCACGAGGCGCGAGCTAATTTTACACTCCTATCAATGTGAATGTTAACATGTCAATGTGAATATTCACATTGTTAACGGGCCAGGCCGGGCCGGGCCCACCCCGAGCGGCGGGCGGGCTTTTGGTCGCCCATGGGCCGCGGTCCAATTTTATACTCTTATCAATGTGAATGTTAACATGTCAATGTGAATATTCACATTGTCAACAGGCCGGGCCAGGCCCGCTCCAGGCCACCCATGGGCCATGGGTAGGTTTCGGGCTGCCACGAGACGCGGGCTAATTTTACACTCCTATCAATGTGAATGTTAACATGTCAATGTGAATATTCACATTGTTAACGGGCCGGGTTGGACCCGCCCTGGGCCGCTGGCCAATTTTATACTCTTATCAATGTGAATGTTAACATGTCAATGTGAATATTCACATTGTCAACGGGCCGGGTCAGGCCCGCCTTGGGCTGTTGGCCAATTTTATACTCTTATCAATGTGAATGTTAACATGTCGATGTGAATATTCACATTGTCAACGGGCCGGGTCGGGCCAGCCCTAGGCCGCTGGCCAATTTTATACTCTTATCAATGTGAATGTTATCATGTCGATGTGAATATTCACATTGTCAACGGGCCGGGTTGGGCCAGCCTTGGGCCGCTGGCCAATTTTATACTCCTATCAATGTGAATGTTAACATGTCAATGTGAATATTCACATTGTCAACGGGCCGGGTCGGGTCAATGTGAATATTCACATTGTCAACAGGCCGGGCCCACCCCAGGCCGCCCATGGGCCGTGGGCGAGTTTCGGGCAGCCACGAGGTGTGGACTAATTTTACACTCCTATCAATGTGAATGTTAACATGTCAATATGAATATTCACATTGTCAACGGATCGGGTCGGGCCAGCTCCGGGCGGCGGGCGGGCTTTTGGTCGCCCATGGGCCGCGGGCCAATTTTATACTCTTATCAATGTGAATGTTAACATGTCAATGTGAATATTCACATTGTCAACGGGCCGGACTTGGCCCGCCCCGGGCCACCCATGGGCCGCGGGCGGGTTTCCCGCCGCCACGGAACGCGGGCCAATTTTACACTCCTATTAATGTGAATGTTAAAATGTCAATGTGAATATTCATATTGTCAACGGACCGGACTCGCCCCGACTCGCGGGTGGGTTTCGGGCCGCCCATGGGCCAATTTTACATTTCTACCAATGTGAATTTAAAAATATGAATGTTCACATCATAAAATTGTTAATCGTTCAAAAAATATTTATAAGGGTATCAAAATTAAATATAAGGGTATAAGTGTCCAAGAAAATAGTGTAAATCAAGAAAAATGATTTTATGGAATAAAACTATACATGCATGGGACTAAATGAGTTAAAAAATTCCTTCATGGACTTCTTGGGTTAAAACACTTATAAATGGGATTTATCAATAAAAATCCCAAAAAAAAAAACTTCATAGATAAAGCGATAAGTTACAACTTTTTTATTTGTTTGTAACCACAAAAAAATTTACTTGCACATATAATCATTAAAATTATAAATAAAAATTTACTTTCATATATTAAGATAGGAAGCAATTATTACAAATACTTTAAAAAAAAAATCTAGTCTTGTTGCTTTTTTTTGAGCCCCATGTTCAATTGGGCCTATAGTATTTGGACTTTTTTTTTTATTTTTATATCTAAAACACAAAATTATATTTGGGGGTCCCTATTTTCAGCCCAAATTTGAAGGCCCAAGACGCAGGTCTCTCTTACCTGCCCTCTGGGCCGGCCCTAGTAGCGGCACAACTGATGTGGGTTTAGTCAGGTTATGAGATTATTTAAATTTAACTCAAGTTGTGTTAAGAGTTATTTAGGTCCATCAAATTACGAATTATAATATAAAATTGTCTGTTCAAATCCGATCTGAGTTAAACTTGAATTGTCCGAGTTATATAAATTACGCATAAATTTTAATTTTTCCCTTTTCTAGTAATTTGTTGAAATTAGATTATTTATAATTTTTTTTTAAAAAATCATTAATAATATAAAAATAAATAATTTATATATTGTAAGAGAGATGTCGTTACGATGGTTCTTATAATTTATGTGTGAGAAAAAATAAATAAGTAAAATTTTGTGTTGTGTTACTTGTATATATAATATATATTTAATATAATCTAATGATCTAATTTACTTTAATATCATTCAATGGCTAATGATTTATATGTATAAGTATAATTAATATATATACATATAATTCGGATTTCGAGTTGCTCAAGTTATTTGATATCTTTGTCAAAACCCATTCAAATTTGATTCGGACTTCTCAATTTTTGTCTAAACCCGTACCAAATTCAAAAATATGTTGCCCAAAGTCTAAAAAATTTCAAGTTGATCGGGTTAAGCTTACCTAACTTTCATCCCTAGTCCCATTCTATCATCCCTAGTCCCATTCTATCATTAGTGATTTGAAATTTATATGAGAAGGTTGGGTTGTGTCATACCCATATATGAGGCTGTGTAATACCCATATACGAGGTTGTGGTTGTGGCTTGTTTTGTAATTGATTTGATGCATATAGAAGATCTGTTTGTTGTTATTTTATTTCTTAGTTACTAATCTGGTACTGATACTGAGTTGAATCGATAATTGGAGAAACATGTTTTGGAAATCACCGCCAAGTCTGGTTTGCACATGTTATAATTGGGGAAGGGTAGGTAGATCCACTGGCGAACCCACTAGAGGGCAGGAGTGGCATCTCCCTCCTTAGTTTTATGGTTTGAATTTTTAAAATTTATTTTTAGATAAATTTTTGTTTAACTTTTTGAAATATTTTTATTAATTTTTTTTTTACTTTTTAAATATACTTAATCAATATATATATATATATGTCTGTGTGTGTATGTGGTTTGTATTTGTCGATATATATGTATGTATATATATAAGCAAATTTGCGTGATATGTGGTTTGTGTTTGGCGAATTTTGTTTGTTTGATTTTGATTTTGTTGATTTTGTTTGTCGTATAGTGTAATGTGTTTTGAAGTTGTATTTTGGAATTGTGAATTCTGGTGTTTTGATACTGATATGTTGTAAGTGTATAATTTTGCAGTTTTGGAATTGTAAATTGTGTACTGTTGTTATTGATATGTTGTAACTGCATAATTTTGCAGTTTGGAATCTGTGAACAATTGTTTGTTGGTTTCTGATTTTGTAGTATGGAGCGGTGTTTCATGTTAATGTGCAAATACAGTAATTGTTGTGCTGCTATTAAGATTAGTGACGGATGTAGTTATGATGAAGTTGTTGAGAAAATATGTGCGAAGTTCAAGGAGTTGAGTGTTGGTAACTTTTGTTTGTTTTTCTCTGTTCCTGGATATTCTAATTGTATTGTTGAATGTGATGATGATTTGGGAAATATGCTGTCAATGGTAGGTGGTAGTGGTTGTCATGTTGTTGATGTTATTGTAGGGGATAAGAGAGTTGTGGAGGTTGATGATGGTAATTCTTGTAGGATTGATTCTGTAACTTGTGAGAGTTCTTTTGTGAATGATTGTGATAATGTTGGTGGTTTGTTGCGTAGTTTTTATCCAGAACCAGAGAGAGTTTTGTTGTCTGCTAGTTGGAAGGGCATTATACATAGTGTTGGTCAAGAATTTGAAGGTGGAGTGTTGGGGTTTCGCATTGCATTGGCTAAGTATGCAGTTGAGTGTGGTTTTGCAGTGAATTATTTGAAGAACGATGCAACAAAAGTAACCGCTGAATGTATGATGAAGTCGTCTACGGGTTGTAAATGGTTTGTGCATGGAAGGGTGTTGATGGATTCTGGTGTTTTTTTTATAATGAAGTTGGATAATGTGCATACTTGTTGGGTTGTTGCTCGTAGATCTTGTAGCAAAATGGTTGGTTCTAGACTTGTGTCTAATATTGTGCAAAATGATATTAGTAATAATCCGTTGACTCGTCCTATTGAAGTTAAAAAAAAGTTGAAGAAGCAATATGGTATAGATGTTTCTTATCGGGTTGCATGGTTAGGAGTTGATAAGGCAAGAGGTGGGTTGTTTGGTGATTTTGCAACTTCTTTTGACCAGCTTCGATGGTACCTTGAGACGGCTATGAGAACGAATCCGGGAAGTGTGTTTGAATTAGATGTGGATGAAAGTAGTGGGTGTTTTCGGAGGTTGTTTGTGGCATTTCATGGATGTTTGTATGGCTTTCAATTTTGTCATCCGTTATTGTTTGTTGATGGTATATTTTTGAAGGGGCGTTACAAGGGGCATTTGCTTGCAGCAACATCAAAGGATGGTAATCAAGGTATGTAGGAGTATTTATTTGCAGTTAGTATTGGTTTAGTTTGTCAGTGTGTTATTGTATTGTGAGTCTGCTAATTTTTACAGTTTCATGTGGTTTTGTTTGCAGGTTTGTTTCCTTTGACTTTTGCGATTGTTGACGCTGAAAATCAAGATAATTGGATGTGATTCTTAAGTCAGTTGTTGAAGGCTGTTGGTTCAGGCCGGAGATTGACTTTTGTGTTGGACCGTCAACATGGATTGCTAGACGCTCTTTCAGTGGTTTTCCCCAATGCACATCATGCTTATTGCTTGAATCATTTGAAGAGAAATTTGATTGACAAATTGGTGGGACTTCGTACTAACTATAAGCTGCGTTTGATGAAAATATTAGTTAAATGTGCTTATGCGCCAACGGTTGCTTCTTTCCAACATTATATGGAGAAATTGAGGCGTATTGCTGGGAATGGTAGAGTTGATAGTATGTTGGATGGTTTGCAAAATGATAAGTGGGCCAATGCATTTTTTAGAGGGAAACGATATGGTGAGATGTCATCTAATGCTGCCGAGTCTTACAATAATTGGATTGGTGGGGCCCGTGAGTTGCCTATTACTTGTATGGTTGATATGATTAGGGTTCAAATTATGACTCAATTGTCGGATAGAAGAGCTGAATCTAGAAGATGGACTACGAAATTGTGTCCAGTTATGGAAAAGAAGTTGGTGGGCTCTTTGGAGCTAGCTAAGTCTTGGGATGTGATTGTTGCTAGTGATATTGTGCTTGAGGTTCATTCTTCTATTTCTTTTTATGTTGATATTGGTAGACAGACTTGTTCTTGCCATGAATGTCAATTGAATGGTTTTCCTTGTTATCATGCTGTGCATGCTTTGCGTAGTAGTGGTAGATATGTGTATGGTTTCATTGATCTTTTTTTCATGTAGATTGTTTTAGAGAGTCATACAAGGAATCTATTTATCCAGTGCCTTCAAGTGAGAGATTTGACTTTGATGGTGCCAGTAGTTCGGTTATCAAACCTCTTATAACGAAGAAGCAGCCCGGGCGGAACAAGGAGAAGAGGATACCTTCTAGGGGTGAGAATGTGAAGCAAATCAAGTGTGGGAGGTGCTTGAAATATGGGAATCACAATAAGAAGACGTGCAAGGCTGCTATTTGAGGCCACAATCTATTCTTTTGGATTTGTATTTGAATTTGAGGAATTATGATAATAAAAAATGTGATACTTGGTATTATAGAAGTAATGAATAAAGTTGGTTGAATTGTTTTTTGTTTGTTGGTGTGTTTTTTACTTATTGAAATTGTTTTGTAACAGTCTGGTTTTGTTTTTTATTTTTATGAAATGCAGAGAAGGTTGTTGAAAATTTCTTATTGAAACAGTATAATATGGAAATGCAGTTCATATTTCATAGCGAGAAAACTGTATAATTTTGCAGTTTTAAGAATTATTAGAAACAACCTAATGAAACCGCATAATTTTGCAGTTTTAAAAATTATTAGAAACAAGCTGATGAAACTGCAAAATTTTGCAGTTTGAAGAATTATTAGAAACAACCTTTACTGTATGAAAATATATGCAACCACAAACAGGTAGACAAACAATCAAAAGAAGAACCACAATAATAATAATAATAAGAAGAAGAGCAACAACAACATCAATCATTTTCACCATAACCATAATAACCAGAAAAAGATCATTCCCAAAAGTATATAAAGTACTTGTCACATGTTAAAAAAGAAAAATAAAAAAAATAAAAAAAAGGTTCAAAGATATGTTCCCTTGAATATTTGTATTGTTAAGAAGTTTGTTCATTGTTTCTATGGTTTGGTATGTTTTGTCAACATTTGGTAGTGCTCGAGTTTCCAGGATCGGTTCTCATCATTGAGGAATTGATTGATGCTTTGTGCTCGAAATTTGACCCACTCAGTTGGATGAAATTTTTTCTGCACAGGTTGCCAGTTGAGATATTGGTTGATAACATTGCAGACGGCGATTGCACAATCATTCCTGCAGTGTTTGAGATGAAGTTAATTAGTTAGGTGAAACTGCAAAAATTAGCATATTGGAAGATTAGTTTATGGATTTTGTATCTTACGAGTGTGGGGTTTGTTGTGGGCATTCCTCAATTGATGCAATTTCTGTCTCGCACTCTTGAGATGAAAACATGTTTCCCTGTTTGCTGAGTAATGCTTTATTCCATCTCAGTTGATGTTGTTGCTACAAAATAGTTAGTGGGTGTTTTTGTTAGTTATAGTGATGAGTTGAGATGTTTGTAAAGGGATGGAACTAAGTATGAAATTTTATTTTAACTTACAATTTGCTTTGCAATTTCAAAGTGCTTGTTATGGCAATCTTTTGCTGGTCTCAACGAGTCATAGTGTCTCCATATTCCATCAGCATTGTCAAAGACCACAATTGTCCAATGGTTGTCGTGGTTGATTGGGAAATGGATATATCTGTTTTTCATTGCTTCTGGAAAATGGCTGTCCATCAGTTTTTCTCTCAGTGCTTGATCTTGGTTTTGTAGTGGAGTCTGTAAGTCATATATATGTTTGAAATATGTCATAAAACTATGTAGTAATACATGTTGATAAAGTAGAAAATTTTGCAGTTGTAAGGTATGTTAAGTTTTGCTTACATTGATGAGTGTTGAGAAAACTACTTGAAGTTTTGTCTTCTTTTGATTGGCATGCTCTTTTGGGTTTGTTTCAGCAGCAACTGCTTTCTCTTGGCCAATATGTTCTTGCATCTTTTCTTTCTGCTGTTGTTTTGCTTCATGAGCACCATCTTTTTTGTTGTCATTCTTCTTCTCTTTTTCTTCATCGGTACCCTGTGTTGGTTAGGGTACATCAGCAGCAGTTTGTGTCTTGTTTCTTGCATCTTCTTTGGGTTTGGTCATTGGTTGGTATTCAAAATCTAGGTCATGTGCTTGTTTTCTTGATTTTTGTTTGGTTCTCTTGACCATGGATCTTTGTTGGGGACTGCCAGTTTTTTTGGTGGACATTTCCTTCAATTGATCTTATTTTTTACGCAATTCAGCCATGAATTTTTGTTCCATTTCTTGCATTTGTGCTCTTGGCTGATATGAGCTTATCCTTGTCGTCCTCTTTGGTTGGTGTTTATGGTTGGTCATGACCTATAAAAATGTTGGATTGTGTTTTGGTTAGTTTAATGAAATTTTGCAGTATGCTTTAGTATTAGACAATAGTTTACCTTGTGCATGAAATATGTCAGATTTCTCTTGCAGTTCTTCTTGTTAGTTTGTCAGTTCTTGTTCATTGACTTCTTCTTGTTGGTTTGTTTATTGTTCTTCTTGTTCTTGTTGTTGGTCTTCTTCTTCATCAAGGTCTTCTTGTTGATCACCTTTTGTTTGTTGTCTTTCTTCTGCTTTGTCATTGTTTTGTTGTTCATCAGGTTCTTCTTCTTTTTCTTGTTGTTGTTGTTGTTGTTCTTCTTCTTCTTCAGTTTCTTCTTCAGTTTCAGTTTCTTCTTCTTCTTCAGTTTCTTCTTCATCAATTTTTTCTTCATCAGTCACTTGATTTTTTTCATCATCACTCTTTTCTTCTTGTTCATCACTTTCTAGTTCTTCTTGTGGTTTTTGCTTTCTTTTCTTTTTTTTTTTTGTTGTTCTTCTTGTTCTGATTGTGATTCTGATTCTGAATGATGTTCTTCTTCGAGAAAGTCATCCTCATCACTGTCTAGAAGTCTTCTTTTTTTTATTGCTTTTGTTTTCTTTTTTTGCTTATTGTCCTTTTTGTGGTCTTGTTTCTTTGCTGAAGAGTCTGTTGATGCGCTTTGATTGATATGCAATAATTGTATTTCTTGTTCAGTTGGGGTTAAAGCACTTTGGTTAACCTACATTGGAACAATGTGGCATATATCAGTAATACTGTAAATTTGGTCAGTTTCATAAGATGAGTTGTACTGTGAGTAATGTGGGTTAAGTGTCGAAATATGTTTTTGAAACTGAAAAATGTTACAGTTTCATAACATGAGTGATGTTAAAGAAGTGTGTGCTTTGAAACTGAAAATTTTCGCAGTTTCATAATATGATTTGTACTACAATGAATATGAAATGAGTGTTGAATAGATTTGTGCTATGATAGTATAGAAGAGTTTGAATACCTTTTCAAAGTGAGCAAGGCTGATGTGTTTCCACTTGGAATACATTTTGCCAAGGTTCTATTTCATAAACCTTGGGAAGCCTTCTTTGTTGGATGGTTGGAGGAGTTTACTATGCTCACAGTACCAGTACTGTAAAAAAAAAAAAAGTTGAAATATGTTAGATAGTTAGAAATAGGTGGATGTCTGATATTTTTGTGGGAAGTAGTTGAGTAATGTGTTTACCAAGAGTAACATGACGCATCCAGTGACATGCCTTGGGTTGTTGTTTGCATTTGCCATTGAATTCATCAGTGTGTCTTTTATTGCCTCAACCCAATTGTACTTCTTGATGTTGTTGAGATTGTCAACATAGTTGAGGAAACTCCAACTGAGTGTATGGCCTGTTGTGGGCATGAGAAGTTTCAAGCACAAGTAAAGGGTGATTACCCTTGCAAGATCTTGACGATCATTGGTTGATTTTCCTTTTTTTGTTTGTTGAAACATTTTGGTCAAAGACTTGCCATCCAATCTCTTGACTGATTTGCATCTTCGTTTGTAAAATGGAAGCTCAAAATCCTTTGGTCTTGCATAGGATTTGGTGGTGATGCTGTCTTCTCCACAATCGATACAAAAAATGAGCTTGACATCACTGCTTCTGAGTTTCATTTCCTTTTTGCCAAGTACAAATAATCTTTTTCTTTTGTTGTAGAGTGTTGTCATTTCTGCTACAATGGAATTGTAGCATCTGCACCAAGAGGCCTTCAGTTGTGTTGAGGAGAGAGCATTTATAAGGGGCCAAAAAGGGTTTTTTTGCAGCTCTGTCTGTTGGGCTTTTGTGAATTTAACCTCTTCAACAGTTTGATTACCGTTCCAATGTTGGAACGATAATTAAATTGTTGGACTCTCTTTGCAAGGACTGCTACTTTTTTTTTCTTTTGATGCCTTGGTTTTTGTTTTGGGAGTTGATTGGCTTTCTTGGAGCTTTCTTTTTTTGGTTGGAGGAGCTTCTTGGTTTTTTGTTGGCTTTCTTTTGTTTGTTTTTGTTGTGATTGGAGGTGTGGTTGGTGTTTGTTGGGTGGGTGGGGTCTGTGGTGTAGTTCTTGGGCTTTTTCTTGTAGGTGGTGTGGTTGTTTTGTAGGTTTTTTGGTGGGGTCTGTTGGATTTGGTTGTTTTTGGGTGTGGTGGTTTGGTTTTTTGTGGATGAGGAGATGGTGGTGGCATTTTAGTGGATACAGGAGATGGACTTTCAAAAGGGGAGATGATTAAATCCTTGATTGGATTTGTGGGCATAGGGTTTGTTTTTTCCAATATCTTCCAACAGCTATTTCTGAAAAAATGAAAGTGACAGCAGGGTATGAGTAATATAGTGACAAAACTGTATAATTTTGAAGTTTTATATGCAGTTTAATATGAAGTTATATGTATTTTGTTGGTAACAGTTACGAAACTGTATAATTTGACAGTTTGATTTGCACTTTATAATAAGTTAGTTATTTGTTTTGAGTAGTGGTTAAACTGTGTAATTTTGCAGTTTCATTTGCAGTTTGAATAAATTTAGATATGTTACTTGTATAGTGATGAAATGAAACACTATGATGTTGTAGTTTTTATAAGGAAACAGTATGAACAATAGGAACAGCCCATTGTATTTTATAAAAAGCAACAATAACAACAAAAAGATTAAAAATTCAAAAATAAGAATAAGAGAAGCCAATATTGAATAACAAGAATAAGAATAAGGTGTTGAATGTGTAAAAACAGAGATTTATGTGTAAAAACAGTGTTTAGAATGTTGAAAAACAGGGGACTATATATAAAAGAGGATTTATACATTTGGAAGTATGTAAAATGTGTATATACGAAATATGAAAGAATGATGTACAAATGTGAATGAAAAATAATAAATAGGTAAAGAGAGATGTTACTTTTTTTTCCCATTTTTGTGAATCGGAAGTTAGGAACTATGAAATCTCTTCAGAGTGGTGATGGTTCTTCGTGTTGTTGAGAGTCGCCGATTGGAGAATATGAACGGCTTGGTGTTGTGTTGAAGATGAACGGTTTGGTTTTGTGGTTAGGGTAGGGTTTCAGAGGGAATGGAGTCGAACAGAGGAGAGATGGAGGATTGAGAATGCGATTTCGAGCGGCGGAGATGTAACAGTGTACTGATCAGACTGAGATGATTGTGGGTGATGAAGATGAACGGTTACGTTTTCTGGTTAGGGTTAGGGTTTCAGAGGGGATGGAGTTGAACGGAAGAGAGATGGAGGACTGAGGAGTCGATTTCGAGCGGCGGAGACGTGACAGTGTAGTGATCGGACTGAGATGATGGGGACGTGGGAGATGGTTGCGCGCGTGTAAATTGGATGATATATTGTGGGTATTTTCATCTTATTGTTAATTTGAGGACTTAATAAAGTATTAAATTTATTTTGGATCTAAATAGGATATGATATGTTGGACTTAAACCTTTGGGTCAGACGTCCTTAAAATATAAATTTGGGCTCCAATGTGTTGGGCCTAAAAATGGTGTTGTGGCTTCATACAATTGGGGGAGCAGGCCTCAGCTTCTATAGACTAGACAGCAGCACAGATTATTTCTACACCCCACGGCCACCGAACCGATTCGTTTACATTTTACACTCTCTCTCTCTCTCTCCTCCATCGAAAGGACTTCCTCCATAATTAGGGTTACTCTCCCTCCATCAATCTACACCCAAACCGAATCTGAATTCACAGAGAGAGAAAGTGAGAGAGAGAGAGAGAGAGAGATGTGGCACGAAGCTCGGAGGTCGGAGAAGAAGGTCCACGATATGATGGACGCAGCTCGAAAGAGAGCTCAGAGACGGGCTGTCTATCTCGCCAAGCGTCGTGGCGATCCTCAGCAATCCATCCAAGTTCTCGGATCTCGCTCTCGCATGTACCGCGACGATGGCCTCTACCAGGCCACCCAGGATCAGCAAGGCCTGTATGTCTATGTCTCCCTCAATCAATTTAGGGCTCCTTTTGTTTTCTTTCTCTCTCTCTCTCTCTTTTTGCACTGCTCGTATTGTTTCTTCATTTGGGGCTGTTTGGTTTCACGGAAAATTTTCCAAAACAATGTTCGCCCGCCCTCACAAATTGTTTTCCAAAGCTCTTTACTTCGGCAGAAAATTTATCTCCAAAATTGAAGATTTTGGAAGCTCGAAGCGAGCTAAAATTAAGTCCCATCCCAGGAAAAAGAATCGATTTTTCTGTGCGGAGTACCCACTGCATTTGTAAATTTGCTACTTTAGGCAGAAATAATTGTGTGTGTGGTGGATGTAGAAAGAATTTGGTGGGTGTATTTAGAAACTGCCTCTTGTGCTTGATCAGATCTAAGGTTAGATATAAATGTTGAAAAAGAAGGGAAGTGGTATCCTATGGGGATTATCAATACAAATAAATAAAATGATGGAAAATTGGAACTTTTGAGAGAGGGTAGGACAGTTAATATAGGTTGTTGTAGGTGCGAAATGAATCAAATTCAAGTTCTTTTTCATTGATAACCTTATTTTTAAAGCATTCTAACAGAGTGATAAAAAGGGTAGATAGAGGCCATTGTTGTTGTGCTATTATGAGGGTGTCTCCCATTATCATGAGGAGAGTTGCATGTTGGCTGTCCATTTACCTATTCATGTTGTGAGTCTTCTTGCTTTCTTTCAATGGTGTTTCTTGGGTGATGCCTAGATGAGTGGTTGTGAAGGTGATAATTGTCAGTTGGAGACAGGATAGAGTGTCCTGAAGGCGATGAGGAGCATCCTAGAGGAAGGGAATAGATCCAGTGGCTCTGACATATAGGTTGAATTGTGTTTTCTGGATTTGCTCTGTTGTTCAGTGATGGAGTGGTGATTTTAATCCTTAGATACATTTTTGGGTTTTGTGAAGAACTAGAATTCTTTTGGTTTTGTATGTTGGTGCATTGCTTTATGCATACAATATGCGTAATGTTCACTCTCTTTTTTGGTACTTATAGATAAAATGTTTGCTTATTAGAAGGAAAAAAAAATAAAATATTCAGGTTTACCCATTTTTCTAAAAAATAAGAAAATTAACTCCTCAATATGTGAAAATAACTTATGAAGTAAAAAACAGTACATATTTGGGACTAGTGGTGATCTTATGGCTGAATTGCAAACTAATGTGATGAACAAAATAAAGGATTCGTTATGCTTGGGCGCAATGGTAGTGATTTTTGCTCAATAACGTGAGGCATTAATTGTTTATTGTTATATATTAGGAGTAGAGTCGCTTATCCTATCCTTCCCCATCTTCTCAAGTTTCTTCAACATTCTGAAGTATTTTGGAATTCTATCCCTTTGGACTAAGGGTTCAAGTTGCAGTTGCAGTGGCTTGGAAGTAGGGTCTAATAAATTCAGGCAGTGGAGGATTGATTTTTTTCCTTCACATAACTATCCGAAATTTTACTGATACACATGTTTTTATTTCAAAGTCATATTTACTTGATTTAATGATTTGTGTTCTATTTATAAACTTGGAAAATCGTTTTCAAGAGCAATATGCATACTTCTTACAGTAATATTACTGTTTTTGTTACAATAACTATTATTTACAAACCTGTAGTCACTTCACTAGTCACTTATCTTAACGGTTCCGAGTGCTATCATAGTTGAGTGTCTATTTTTACATCTTAATTTGAGATATCTTTGCCTTTTATCTCAGGATCCCTTGGAATGGGAAAGAAGATATTATGATTGATAGGTATGTTGCTTTTGTGTGTTTGTGCGTGTAATTGTGTGTTGGGAAAAATTGTTCTTCTGTACTGATTTGCTTCACTCTTTACAGATTTGATGGCCGTGCTCTTCTTGATTATATTCGAGATTCTAGTTCCCGACGTTTTCGGACCCCTGAGAAGACAGAGGAAGAAGAAGAATTAGAAGAGTTTGTTAATTTTGAGCGTTATCGGGATTTAATTAAGCATCAGCGTAGAGGATGTCGGTACTTTTTTGTTTTTTGATAATGTTTTGAATTCATGAACATTTTTTTAATATTTTGATATATTTTATTTTATCTACCTTTCGACAAGGCAATCTGTGGCAAATACGATGCATACTTATTTGGAATCATTCTTATGGCAAGGGATTTATTTAATAGAAGTTTTACAAGCTAAGTATTGTCTAATAACAGTTACTGATGAGGAAGGTTTGCAACATGTGAATCAAGAGATGGAAGCAAAGATTGCTACTCCATTTGGATCTGACAGGTTTTAACCGTTTTCTTTTCATTGAACTTTCTTTTTCTATTGAATGAAGTTGTTATTTACCTCTGTAATCTATTACAAGTTAAAGAAGAATGCATACACGCAAATACAGTAAATCTGTTCACTACTGAAAAAGAAAATGAGATTAGTTTCACCTGTTTGTTTGCTTGCAATGTGGAGACAAGTTTTGTGTTTTTAAGAATATCAAATTTTCTGAACTTTGTTTTAGCTTTATGCTATTATGATCAGCGTTGCCTTCTGTTTGTGAAGATGGTAGAAGGTATTGTTTAACTAATGTATATATAGCATGTTTAATAGTTCTTTCATGAATCATTCTTCATATAACATATCATTTTGCTTTGTGTATCTGGCAGATCACATCCGGCTCAGGCTCCAGCAAGCAAGGGCTCATATTCGCAGGTGGGTTTCTCTTATGAAGGAGATGGAAAAGAGGAAACTCATTATTCAGATGGTGATGATGAGGATGAGGATGATGACAATGATGATGATGAGGATTTTAACAGTGATGATAGCAATGATGAAGAGATGGAGAAAATTGCAAAAGAATTTGGTGTAAAGAGGTATGGTTGGCTTGTTTACATGGACAAAAAAGCTAAAGAGGAGGAAAAGAAGCAAAAAGAAGTGGTCAAGGGGGATCCTTCAATTGTAAGTTCGTCAAAACTTTTAATTGGGACACGTTATCTTGGAAATCTGCAACTGTGCTAACATTGGCTGTCCTGAGTACTTTTCAATTTTCTAGAGGAAGCTTAGTCGCAAGGAACGGAGGAAGGCTTCTCAGATAGGAAGAGAGAGAGAAAGAGAAGCTGCCCAAATTACTGGCACTCGTGTGCTTCATCACGATCCTTACAGGTAAATACTAATATATTATATGTCTGCAATTGTTTGGCAAGTTGGTCTATAAGCACCAGAAATCGTATAAACCTCCAGTTGCAAATGGTTGATCTGGGTACATAATTTGCAGGGAGACTAGACGAAGTCCAACTTATGAAGCCTATTCTCGTTCTAGAAGGTTTGATTTGTTCTAGTTTTTTTGTTTTTTGGGGTGGGGGGGGGGGGGGGGGGGGGGGGGGTGTGTAATACGCTGCTCATTATGCTATCAAGTTTTAATGAAATGAATCTTGTTATATAAATGCTATTGTAATTTATGTTGGCAGATCCAGATCGAGGTCTCGGTCATACTCCCCATCACACTCAAGGCGCTATGCCCGTGGTGTGCATTCTGATGATAGCCATCGAAGCAAATCAAAGGCTGCCAAAATAGAGTATATTACTGAATTTGGGGGATCTGCTGATGGGGATGAACCGAAGTTTGAAGGATTCTCTCCACCACCTTCTCCTCCGCCCCAAGCTGATCTGTTGAACCGGTCGGAGCACTCGACCTTTAATTCTTGCAATTTGCAAAGATAGATTGGACAGTCTTTACTGCTGCAGCTTATCCTCCATTTTGTTACCTGAGGCAAACTTTTGTGGTTTAGAATATATGAAAGCTTAGGTTATCAGCATAACTGCCGAGGGAGAGGGAAGGAAGCTTCCATTTTGAAGCTCATTTTTCCCTTGAAACGGACTTTGTATCAATGCATCGAAGTTTTCTACAAGCATTGAAATGGGTGTGTCTAATTCTTGTTCTTTTATGCAGGCCATCGTCTGGTCAGATACTTGAGGCCCTGCATACTGATCCTGCTTCCAGTGTATCCCTTGACAAGGAACAGAGTACTAAAGTGTTGAAGCCACTAGTGAGGTATCTTATGATTTTTGGGTTACATTTACTTTGTTACAGATTAACAGATATGCATGTGTGGATAATGGGGATCTTCTTGTACTGATTCTTTTTGTTTGCTACATTTCTTCTTGGGCAGCACTTCGTCTGCATTAGCAAAGTTGAGCAAGTCTACTAGTAGTGGAGGCCTTTCTATATCAGGGGAGAAGAAGGAAACACCTCAAGAGCGACTTAAACGAATCATGAGCAGACAACTTAACAAACAAAGTAAATCCTACTTTATCTGCATTTTAGTAGTAAAACGGCCAATATTATATGTCGCCATGTGGTGACAGCTAGGAAGCACCGACACCTCCCCCAGAGGCCATGTATCAGTGTCCTACACGCGTCTGACATGTAGTGGACACATGTCCGACCCTCAGTCTGGCTTGTCCCTTTTTTCTTTTTTTCTTTTTCATCTTAAACACGTCTTGGACACTTTGGAGACTAGAGGGAGAAGAAGAAGAAGAATGCGAAGGTCCCTAAAATCGAAGCTTTCCACCTGCAATGAGAGAGCCCAAGCTTCGAAATCCACCCATCAGCCACTATTCAAAGTCACAGCTAAGCTTTCCACCTGCAATGAGAGAGCCCAAGCTTCGAAATCCACCCATCAGCCACTATTCAAAGTCACAGCTGCAAGAGAGAGATGAAAGAGGGAAGACGACCTAGCTTTCCACCTGCGATGAGAGTGCCGAAGCTTTGAAGTCGACAAATCAAGCACTGATTGAAGTCGCAGCTGCAAGAGAGAGATGAAAGAGGGAAGATGACCAAGCTGTCCACCTGCAATTGAGAGAATCGAAGCTTCCTGTTGCAACAAAGATTTGATTTCTCCCCCTTTTGTTGTTTTGTATTTCAAAGAAAAGAAAAGGGTTTACACCTCATTAAACCACCTTTACAGCTCATTAAACCTTTCCACCTACCAGGCTAATAATGGTTCCAGCTAGAAGTCAAATGGTCAAAACAGCTAGCTTTTACTACTAGTAGGTTTGTAATGTTTAAATTTTTAATTAATGTTAAATTATTAAAATTTTCATAATTTGAAATAAAATATTTATATATATGAGGTATATTATATAAATAAATATATATATATATAACGTGTCCTTAGTGTGTCCCTCATATATTTTTAACGTGTCCCTCTAAAATTTTTAATTAATGTTAAATTATTAAAATTTTCATAATTTGAAATAAAATATTTATATATATGAGGTATATTATATAAATAAATATATATATATATTTCTAACATGTCATAAGCTTGTTGTGCTTGGCGTATTTTGAAAATTCACGTGGCAGCGTGTCCGTGTCGTGTCTCGTGTCTGTGTCTGTGTCTGTGTCTGTGTCTGTGTCCGTGTCCGTGTCCGTGTCCGTGCAACATAGGGTGACAGCTTGATAGGGAATGATTTTTTTTATTTTTATTTTAATCTTTTTCCTCTTTCCCCCTTGCATTGCTTTTATATGGCTTTATATGTTCTTTGTTTTTCTAATTTCCATTTTGTCTTTGATTGATTAATCTTACAGTTAAGAAGGATACTGCTGTTGAAATGGCCAAGAAACGAGAACAGGAGCGCCAGAGGCTTGAAAAGCTTGCAGAAACGAGCCGATTAAGTCGATATAGGCGTCACAGCCGCAGCAGAAGCAGAAGCTATAGTCGATCTCCTCCAAGGTAGCATAATACGCTGCTCATTATGCTATCAAGTTGCACGCACGGTTGTGTACCATATGTTCCACGTGCAAGATTATTATTTTTAATGTTTATGGTTGAAGATGATCTAGGTTTAGGACTTGGCTAATAATAATCTACACATTATTTTTGGCCTTTGTTCTCATGACACAAGCTGGAATGACATGAAACTTACTGATATACTGAAGGATTTTTTTTTATTTGGAAAACAAAATTGCAGTCCTTCCGCAACTGCAAACAAAGCAAAAAATGATGCTCCATCAACTCAACAAAGCCTTAATCCCAACTACACTGGTTGTTTCCAAATTCACTGTTCCGTACTTCTTGGAGCCATGGCTTTCTTTAAATACCTTCGGTTCATAAATTGAGCCTTAATCCCAACTACTGTGGTTGTTTCCAAATCACTGTTCGGTACGACTTGGAGCCATGGCTTTCTTTAAATCCCTCCGGTTCATAAATTGAGCCTTAATCCCAACTACTTTGTTTGTTTCCAAATTCACTGTTCAGTACTACTTGGAGCCATTGCTTTCTTTAAATCCCTTCGGTTCATAAATTGAGCCATAATCCCAATTACTTTGGTTTTTTCCAAATTCACTGTTCAGTACTACTTGGAGCAATGGCTTTCTTTAAATCCCTTCAGTTCATAAATTTTGGTTGTACCATACTCCGGCAGTTGGTATGTAAGGTTTTTGAGGTGTGTCATGAACCCAAATGTAGGGGAATTGGGATTTACTATTGACTACTGAGCCCACCCAACACAGCAAAAAAATTCAAAAAAAGAAAAAGAAGGAAAAGTAAAAACAATTAAAATTGAATTAAACCGAAGTTAAATAAAATATTTGAATTGGGTTGTTAAATAAAGGCTATCCCTAACTTAGATACTATTTCTAAAGTATTAGGCTACTAGAACTTGTTTCGATTCAACATGGATGAGATGAGATTCAAGAAACTGTAATTCATTTTAATTGATTCACCCAACATGTTGAGATGTAGAGGATTGATCCAGTAAGTTAATGGGTTTGCTTGACACATATTCGTAAGAAAAACTCTTTGTGAATTAAGTTGCATTTCCTTCACGCATAAGTTCTAGCACTTTTGACATTGTTATTGCATCTGTTACTGCAATACGGGAGTTTTTTTTATGATTTGTATACCATGTAAATAGACATTTATAAGAAGGTTGCCTGTTTGCAATGATCTTTTGATGACTGGCATCTTGCTGGAGTAATGCTTAACTATGGTTATTGATTCTCTTTTATTTGTTTATGTTTTTGGTACATTTTATTTGTATATTTTTTTCTTCTCTCCTCCTTTTTGGATTTGGAAACAAATTGAAAGAAATGGAAGGTAGAAGGAAGAGGGATCCTTTATGGAACACTGAAGAAACTGCAGGAAGCAAATTTCATATGATGCTAAAGTTTGTCTTTCTTTTCACGGCCTTTGACTCTTTTTCTTGATTTTTGATCCTCATACAACAGTGACTGATCTATACTCTCTCCGGGTGAATCGGGTGTGCTGTGTTTTTACATCTTTTAATTGACCTAATAATGTGTTTTGTTCAACTATGTTGTAGTGAAGTTTCCGAAAATTATAAAAGCTGACTTATTTCCGTCACTCGGGTGCAATCATGAGCTGTTTGCTTATTGCAGAAGATATAGGAGGAGCAGAAGTCGAAGTAGAAGCAGGAATTCTCGCAGATATAATTCACGGTCTCGTTCTCCCTCCCATTCTTGTTCTCACTCTCGTTCCATCTCCCGGTCTCGCTCTCCAAGGTGATATATTATCATTTTTATTTTTGTTTTTGTTTTTGTTTTTGTTTTTGCTGCTTTGGGTTGTGTGACCTTTGTGCATGTACTGGCACTGATAAGAGAGCTAATATTGCAGGGTAAGGAGCCGTTCAAGGTACTAATAAAGATATTGTAGCTGGGGTGGCACTGAGGATAATGTGCACGTGGTAGTGTTTTTATCTGAAAATTTAAAAATAGTAAGAAGAGGAGAAGAAAAAAAAGGAAAAAGTGGTGCAGCTACCTCTTATGTCCTTGAATGTGGAATGTACAGTGTCTTTTTGTGAAGACAAGGTATAACACTCTGCAATCACTTATGCTTTGTTCTGAGCTCAAATATTTTGTAAGTTAAACTGCAGTGTATGTAGGATGATTGTGAGTAATTAATATTATTGGACATTGTATAATCAATACTTCACTATCATTCATTTCCTTCTTGTGCTAGTAGGCATTTGAATTTGACTTGAATTGGGTGTTTTGCAAAGCTTGTTATTTATACGTGAAATGAGCCTAAAAATCTTACTCAAGCTTGTTTATTTACTCAATGAGTCAAACTGAATTGATCCCTTAGGAGTCAAGTTCGTGAACAATTTAGTTCGTTTGCAGCCTTTATGTATGTCTGTCTCTGTTTCTTGACTTCTTAGTCAAGGGCAAATTGACTGCACGGGGTTCATGAAGTTGTATGTATTGTAAACAACGTTGTTTGGGAAGTAAGGCTTTTAGTAAAAAATCACTACAAGTTCTTTATTTATTTTTTCTTTTTTATAAAAAATTAAAATATCATTATTTTCAAAAGCCCATGTTACATTTGAAGCCCATGTCACATTACAAGCTTCAAAATCGTTTAATGATAAAATATCATTATTGCTTGTTTGGGGAGCAATCATTTTAGTTAAAAAGTCAATAAATTATTATAAATTATCAAATCACTCTCTTTATTTTTCTGTACATCTTTTTGTAAAAAGTTAAAAAATTATTAAGATAGTCTGTTTCCAAACGAGTCTTCTTGTTAATTAGGAACAAATATTGAGTGTAATAATAATATCGTCTTATGTGATGTTGGTTAATAAAATATCATAAATAGAAAATAAGATAAAGTGAATATTTCTTGCCTTCTACTAATCCAATTATATAATCTTTGTTACAGTAATATAAACTTTCTTATTAGATTATCTTGTTAATTGGGAACAAATATTAGATTATCTTCTCGTTAATAAGAAACAAATATTGAGTGTAACAATGATATTGTCTTATGTGATATTGTTGGTTAATAAAATATCATAAATGGAAAATAAGATTGTCTTCTACTAATCTAATTATATAATCTTTGTTACAGCAACATAAACTTCCTTATTATTAGTTGATGATATTACTGAGCTGAGTTATTGAATAGTGATTCGTGTACACGGCTCTTAAATCATTACAAGTCAATGGAGCCTGTGGTTTTTTTGTTTTATTTTGTTTTGTTGTGGGTATTGCTCTTATTGTTAATTATTACAGAAACAATCTCTCTTTTGCATAGATGAGATTGTGTATATGTTTACTTTCTTCAAATCTCACAATGATGACAACTTCATAACATTGTGCTGCTTTTTTTAAAACCAGACTTTTATGTTGTGTTTGGTTGGGAAATTTGAGAAGAGATTTGAAAAAAGAAATGAAAAAAGTAGGTAAAATGTGAATAAAATATGTCTAAATTTCACCTAATTTCATATACATTTTCATTTTCCTTTTCCCTTTCCAAATCCTTTTCCAAATCTCCTAACCAAACACGGCATTAAGAAGTGGAAACTTATTGATTATTCTGAGACTATTACTTGAACACTAGATATGATGATTTTATCACTTTAAAATAAAAAATCCTTCAAAATAAAATAAAATATAAAATTTATTATCATATAATATCACTCTAATCAGAAACTGAGTATGGACAAACTTTTAACTTTAAGCATGGTTGCAAAGCAAGTCATTTAGATGTAAAGGCATCAAGCCCCACCCTAATCACAGGTGTGAAAATGGATCCAAGTAGTTGTGGATAGATTGTGGCTTTATTTCTCAATGTACCTTTCTTCGGCCTTTAACTTAGCATCTTCCTTTCATCATATCACCTTGTACCACACGGAACTTGTTGACTCCCTTCTAAAGCAAAAGAGATCAACAATACTTGACATTTCAAAGAGCGAGCTTAGAAACACAAAAATCAGTTATAAAATTAGACACAACATGTAAATAGTACTTTTAAAAAGTGAATTTCACCAATAAATTTTATAAAATCTCATTGATTCATGTGTATTTGTCTTTAATTCAGTATTAATTTATATCTTTTTATTATTTTTGTATTCATAGTAGAACTGTATTTAAAAACTTCACTTTATTATGTCACAAGATGCTATTCCCGTGACTCATGAAAGAGATGTGCACTTCTACACTTTTAACTCAAAATTCACACTTTTAATGAGTGTATACCTAATCTAATCTACACATAGCAAAGATCGTCAACTCAAAAGTATAATCACCACACGAGTGGGGGATAAGCTTATTTTACTTTTACTTTTACAACTTTAATTAATTCCAAGTGAATTGCTTATATATTGTACTTGCAATTGCATCTCAATCAAGGTTCTAAATAATAATATCGGGGATGAACAAGTGGCATATATTCAAAATCAAGTGGTGTGATCGTAAGCCCTTTAAAATCATTAGTTACAAAAGAGAATTAAACTTCAACTGAATCGATCATATAAAATATAAATCGCTACGTATAAAAGTAAATTTTATTTTATCAATATCAAAAAGTTAAAAAATTAACATGTATCCACCGATATATGATTATCCTCAATTGCTGGGCTAATGGGATTTGACATCACTTAGGGTTGAGTTCGTGGTGGGGAATACACCTTGTGGAGATGTGTCACTATTTTGATGTTGACAGTACTATACATTACTATGTTTAGAAGAATTTAAACTTGTTCATATATTTTGAAAGTGTTGGACAAAACATAGAGTTTAATTAGTCTAAAATTATAGACATTTCATCTAAAAAGTATTGATTTGTTTAAAATCATGATTTTTATTATTTTGAATCAATTAAAATTTATATTTATCTCGACATTTTGATAACATGTGAACATGATTAAACTCTAGAAAAATTCTCCTCATTGATATTTCTAATAAAAAAAGCTTGTTCAATAGCTTTGTGTACTTATTAAGGATCATCTATCATTCTATTCTCGCCAATCTCAACTTACAATTTTATAGTATATACTAAGAAACCTTTAATAAAAGTACTTTATACAATCAATGATCATGGCAAGCTCCTTTAATCAATGAATTAAGTAATTATATAACTTTAATTTGTTTTAAGCATTAAACAATGAAGCAAAGCAAAACAATCCCTATCCATTTCTTTCTAAACAACCTGTGTTAGGCTTCAACTACCCTAGCTTGCTCTATTTAATTTCTTCTTTTTTCTTTTTTAATTTTTAATTGTAAGAGGTTGATGGAGCACATGGGATGGTGTATCTCTCTTGGACTGCTTCAATCTTATTATATATGCAATCCTTAGGCTCAGGGGGTAAATTGTTATGAAAATACAAACCTCAGGGGGCGGGATGTAATTTCCGAAACCTCAGGGATATCTGTAATTTAACCAAACCTCGAGGGGTGTATATGTAATTTGCCCTTTAATTTTTAATTGTAAGAGGTTGATGGAGCACATGGGACGGTGTATCTCTCTTGGACTGCTTCAATCTTATTATATATGCAATCTTTAGGCTAAAAGAGTGATTTTTTATTTATTTATTTTTTTTTAAAAAAAAAAGAGTGTAAAAATAAGATGATAAGTGTGGTAGATCTCTACCCCACAAAATGATTTTATTCTTGTAGGCATGCTTTGCCATCTTATAATCACATTGATATAATATTACCACATTAATTTTGCATCTTTTTAGTTCTAGACTATTTTTAAAAGGTAGATCTTTAGTTAAAATATGTGTTTTAGCTTGATTAATCAATATCTCTCTCCTCTTTGTAACAGAACTCATTGTGATGTCACTCCTACATGCACATCAATCATCCACCTAAATTTGAATTTGAATCCATATGAAGATAGTGAAAAAATTTGGCGGGCGCAAGGCAAAGTTTCTTACTTGAAAAGTGATGTAGATCTGGTATCGCCTAATGCATGGAGCAGTTTGACAGTTAGATGGCAAAATAGTAATATGAGTTTAGTTTAACATTTGCATATTTATTTTAAAAGTCTCATTTTCGATTAGAAATGGGTCAAGGAATAAATTCACCGCTTAAAATAATACAAACTTTATTTGAAATTTTTCTCTACCCTTATTCCTATTTTTTTGATAATTCAATTATGAAAGTAATTTTATTGTTACAAATTTTGCTTCTACACTACCTTACATCAAAAAGTTAGATGTAGACCTAATTGTGCTGTACCATCACATTTCATGATTTAATTTTGATTAAAAGGGGTATGACTGATCCTAACAAGGGAAGATAATCTCATGATTTAACTTTGATTAAAGTTGTAACCAAAAAATCATATCATGAGTAAAATTGTGAACATGTGTTTTTACTGTTCGTGTAGTGATTCTTAAATAAGCATTAGGGATCACACCCCTATCCATGTTCCACTAAAACCTACAAAATGGCCACTAAGGAAAAGAACTTTATAGATCACTTTTGCATTTTAATAATATTTCTCTTACTCTATGTTTGAATTTTGAGTAATGCAGGAAAAAAAAATCTTTCCCTTTATAAATTCATTCATAAATACAAAATTCATCATAATCTCATAATTAAAATATATTATCTAAGTCACCCAATTTCAATTTATATAATTTAGAGACTAATATACTCATTGCCAACTAATTTTAAATTAAATTTCTCTAATAAATTTAATATGATATTAGAGTTGGGTTTTCAGTGACTCCAATAGGCCAAGTGTCTCGCGTCTCTCTGTTAGGAGACCCCATCGCACTTATGTCGGGGCGAAACTAAGGTCCCCACCATGCTTTAGGTGCTAAGCAACTATGGAGATGAACTTAAGCATTGAGTGACAAAATTCAAATTCTTACCATTGAACCAACCATTCAATGGTCTCTTCACCTTCACATGTGGGCAAGGGAATTTTTCACCCATTACCAAAGTAAGTTTATGTGTATAGAAATCAAATACAAAATGTAACAATCTTCTCATAAGGGATGTGGTCCACATGTATAGGACCCACATGTATGTGGGACACACCCCGCGAGAGGATTGTGTCTCATTTTATATTTGATTTCTATATTCCTAATATTATTGATTACCAATTGATTTTAAGTTGAATATCTCAAACAAATTTAATAAAATATAATAGGTCTCTTGTATGAGAAAGTGACACACTAACAACTACAAAAACAAGGGAAATTATTCAATCAAATATTGTTGGTAATAGGTGATTCTCTCAACAT